GGGATGGGGCCAGGAAAGGTGAGTGTAGGTAGGGAGTTAGGAAGGGGATAGGTCAGTCCAGGGAGGACGGACAGGTCAAGGGGGCGGGATGAGGTTGGTCGGTAGGAGATGGAGGTGCGGCTTGGGGTGGGAGGAGGGGATAGGTGGGAGGAAGAACAGGTTAGGGAGGCAGGGACGAGTTGGACTGGTTTTGGGATGCGGTGGGGGGAGGGGAGATTTTGAAACTTGTGAAATCCACATTGATACCATTGGGCTGCAGGGTTCCCAAGCGGAATATGAGTTGCTGTTCCTGCAACCTTCGGGTGGCATCGTTGTGGCACTGCAGGAGGCCCAGGATGGACATGTCGTCTGAGGAATGGGAGGGGGAGTTGAAATGGTTCGCGACTGGGAGGTGCAGTTGTTTGTTGCGAACCGAGCGTAGGTGTTCTGCAAAGCGGTCCCCGAGTCTCCGCTTGGTTTCCCCGATGTAGAGGAAGCCACACCGGGTACAGCGGATGCAGTATACCACATTGGCAGATGTGCAGGTGAACATCTGCTTGATGTGGAAAGTCTTCTTGGGGCCTGGGATGGGGGTGAGGGAGGAGGTATGGGGGCAGGTGTAGCACTTCCTGCGGTTGCAGGGAAAAGTGCCGGGTGTGGTGGAGCTGGAGGGGAGTGTGGAGCGGACAAGGGAGTCACGGAGAGAGTTGTCCCTCCGGAAAGCAGATAAAGGTGGGGAGGGAAAGATGTCTTTGGTGGTGGGGTCGGATTGCAGATGGCGGAAGTGTCGGAGGATGATGCGTTGGATCCGGAGGTTGGTGGGGTGGTACGTGAGGACGAGGGGGATTCTTTTTTGGTTTTTATTGCGTGGACGGGGTGTGAGGGATGAGGTGCGGGAGATGTGGGAGACACGGTTGAGGGCGTTCTCGACCACCGAGGAGGGGAAGTTACGGTCCTTGAAAAACGAGGACAACTGAGATGTACGGGAGTGGAATGCCTCATCCTGGGAGCAGATGCGGCGGAGGCGAAGGAATTGGGAATAGGGGATAGCATTTTTGCAGGAAGGTGGGTGGGAGGAGGAGTATTCTAGGTAGCTGTGGGAGTCGGTGGGCTTGAAATGAATATCGGTTTCTAGGTGGTTGCCCGATATGGAGACAGAGAGGTCCAGGAAGGGGAGAGAGGTGTTAGAGATGGTCCAGGTAAACTTAAGGTTGGGGTGGAAGGTGTTAGTGAAGTGTATGAACTGTTCGAGCTCCTCGTGGGAGCACGAGGCGGCGCCGATACAGTCATCAATGTAACGGAGGAAGAGGTGGGGTTTAGGGCCGGTGTAGGTACGGAAGAGGGATTGTTCCACGTAACCTACAAAGAGGCAGGCGTAGCTTGGGCCCATGCGGGTACCCATGGCAACCCCCTTTGTCTGTAGGAAGTGGGAGGAATTGAAAGAGAAGTTGTTGAGTGTGAGGACGAGTTCGGCTAAGCGGATGAGGGTGTCAGTGGAGGGGGACTGGTCGGGCCTGCGGGACAGGAAGAAGCGGAGGGCCTTAAGGCCATCTGCATGGGGAATGCAGGTGTAGAGGGACTGGACGTCCATGGTAAAGATGAGGTGTTGGGGACCGGGGAATTGGAAGTTCTGGAGGAGGTGGAGGGCGTGGGTGGTGTCACGGACATAGGTAGGGAGTTCCTGGACCAAGGGGGAGAAAATGGAGTCGAGATAGTTGGAGATCAGTTCGGTGGGGCAGGAGCAGGCGGAGACAATGGGTCGACCAGGGCATTCAGGTTTGTGGATTTTGGGAAGGAGATAGAAGCGGGCAGTGCGAGGTTGGGGAACGATGAGGTTGGAGGCCGTGGGTGGGAGGTCACCTGAGGTGATGAGGTTGTGGATGGTTTGCGAGATGATGGTTTGGTGCTCAGGGGTGGGGTCATGATCAAGGGGGCGGTAGGAGGAGGTGTCGGAGAGTTGGCGTCCGGCCTCGGCGATGTAGAGGTCAGTGCGCCATACTACAACTGCACCTCCCTTGTCCGCGGGTTTTATGGTGAGGTTGGGATTGGAGCGGAGGGAGCGGAGGGCTGCACGTTCTGCGGGGGAGAGGTTGGAGTGGGTGAGAGGGGTGAGAGCTGCTAACAATCAACCACATTGCTGTGGGTCTGGAGTCACATGCAGACCAGACTAGGATAAGGATGCAGGTTTCTTCCCTAAAAGACATTAGTGAACCAGATGCATTTTTCGCACAACTGATAATGAATTCATGGTCATCATTAGACTCTTAATTCCAGATTTCTTACTGAATTTAAATTCAACCATCTGCCATAGTGGAATTTTAATCCAGATCTGTGTCTCTAGATTAATGGTCCAATAATACCACTACGCTGTCACCTCCCCTAGCTATGTGTTTTAAGACCAAACCATGTCTAATAATATATTCATCCTATAAATTATCAAGGGGTGCGCACACTCTCTGGAGATAAATAAATATTTTATTTTATGTGTGGGCTGTTTGAGATTCAAACTAAAATCAGTTAGTTCTCACTCAGCTTCCAGTGGGTGTGAAGGCATGTGTATAGCATAAACACTGGCACTGGCAATATCCCAAACCACTTCAAAGGTGCATTAATTATCAAAGCAAAATTTGACACCAAAACCACATAAGGAAATATTGAGGCAGGTTATCAAAGACCTGGCCAAAGAGTTTAAGTATAAGGAGCATCTTAATATCCATTCCCGAACTGTGTTGACTTTTACCCGTGATGAAGGGAGAGCTCATTTTTATTCAGTAGCACTTCCACAGAAAACGTCCCTCTGGATTTGTAGTGACTTTGAAAGATGACACTAATATGAAAAAAACAACAGTGCTTTTAATAAGATAAAAAGTTTTTTTTTACCCTTGTCAGTTATGGTGGAAGTTGCTCCTACTTTGATTATTGTATGAAATATGTTTCCAATCACCTCAACATGACAGCTTGTGCAAAGAATATTCTCTTTTATAAAAGATGCAATTTATAACCTAATCCCAGGAATGCCTCAACAGTAGAAGGATTTTTCTTTTACCTTTGTTAGATGTAATCCTTGAAGTGCATTTCCTTCCAGCTCATATTTATAATAACACGTTTCTCAGGAAGGATAAATAGCTTTTACACAGCAGGATTGATTTGCCTTTACAATTTTCCCACAAATTAGTTTTCAGAAAAGTAATTGCAGAAACTAAAACAAAAATCTAAAACACCTACAGTCTTTCAAGTTTTGCAAGAACAAACTGCTCTGATTAAAAATCCTTGGTGTTAATATAATGCCATAAGTGATCAGCTTCTGAATAGCTACGACAAAAAAAAATTCACAAAAAACAGCACCTTTAATGTAGTTCAAGGTACCAATGTGCTTCACAGGACTTTGTAAGTCAAAATTTTACATAAAACCATATTAGGACAGATAACCAAAATCTTGGTTGAACTTAGATTTTGAGGAGTATCTCAAAAGGAGGAGAGAGACTAAGGAGAGGCAGACACATATGAAGATAAATGCATCCTAGTGCCACTGGACCATAGGGCTGCTGTCTCATTAGAAGGAGAGAGAAGACTGGTGTGGTTTAATCTGAGGGTTAGCACAGCTCAGGGGAGGGGAGAGGTTGTGACATTGTAACTTTAGGCAAAGTGAGAATTGGACCCACACTGTTGGCCTCTCCCTGCATCATAAGTCAGCTGGTCAGTTAACTGGTCTAACCAAAGCCCACACATATTGGGGAAAAACAGTTTAGGGCCTTGGTAGCTCTAGGAATGACAACCAGTGATGGAGTGATTTTACAATCAGGATTCTCAAGAGGCCAGAATTAGATGAATACGGATATTTCAGAGTGTTATGAGGAGATTGCAGAGAATGGAGGAAGGTGAGTCCACAGAAAAAGCTTTGGTCACCTTATGTAAAGAAAAATAAACTGTCACTGGAGGCAGGCCAGAGAAGAGTCATCTAGACACAAAACATTAGCCTGCTGTCTCTCCATGGATGCAGCCTGACCTGCTGTCATTTCCGGCTTTTTTGTTTTCAGAAGGTTCACTCCGGTGATTCCAGCTTTGGAGAGATTTTCTTATGAGGAGAAATTGAGTAGTTTGGGCCTGTACTCATTAGAGTTTAGAACAATGAGAGGAGACCCTGTTGAAGCATAAAAGATTTTTAGGGGACTTGACAGGTTGGTTATGGAGACACTGTTTTCCTTTGTGAGCGAGTCTAGGGCAAGAAGGCATAATCTCAAATTAAAACTGGGATGAGGAGGATTTTTTTCTCTGAGGGTAGTAAATCTGTGGAATTCTTTACCAAGCTGGCTCTCATTAAGTATATTCAAGGCTAAAATTGACAGATTTTTAATTAACAAGGGAATCAAGCCTTGTAGGGAAAAGGCAGAATGTTGGAGTTATGGATCATTGGATCAGCCACAATCTCATTGAATGGCAGAACAGAATTGATGGGCTGAATGGCCTACACCTGTTCCAATGTTTTATGGTTTAATACGGATGAGAATTTTGAAATTAAGGTGTTACCTATCTAGGAACTTGTGTAGAAGAACAAGCACAATGATGAGGGTGAAGAGCACCTGGTTCAGGTTGTCGAGTGAAAGAGAGGAAAACATTCTATAGTGAAGTCTAGAGGTAACAAAGGAGGGAAATTAAAGGACATGTTAATCCTGCCCACCCAACAGCAAATTAGAATTGACTGGACCATGTGCTTCCAAACTTTTCCTTTTCTCTCCAGTAGTTTAACAGAGACAGGAGCACTTGCATTTTAAATGATATCCCGTGCTCTCAATTCAGAACTTTAATTAATCAGATTAGTGAAATCTATCTGATTAAAATTGGATTACATAAGAAGTATTTTCATTAGGAGAGGGTTAATTCTTTTCCAGTTTCACGTTCTAGTTGCAACTGCATGGCAGATCATTTCCACACATTAACGTTCTCATTCCCCTCCAGTGTTTCACTTTGTGTCTAACATCAGTGTTGTTTTGCGCATAATTTGCTTTCGTTGATGTTCTTTCCACTGGCCGGCCATAGGAACGTGGAACGGCACCACAAAGGTTGCAGTGAAGACTCTGAAACCCGGCACTATGTCACCTGAAGCATTTCTTGAGGAAGCCCAAATAATGAAGAGACTGAGACATGACAAATTGGTTCAGCTTTACGCAGTGGTTTCTGAGGAACCCATCTACATCGTCACGGAATTCATGACTCAAGGTAAAGTAACCTTTCCAACAGCCACATTTTTATCTTCAATTTGATCAGCTATTTAAAATATATCATTTACAGGAAATGCTGTTTGAGATCCAGTCCCTGCTGTTAGATCTATAGTCGACATCATAGAATTTAGCATCTCATTGACAAATGATTCTGTCTGGTTTGTGTATGTTTCAATATGCATAGTGTAACTCACACATAGTGCATGTATGATGGAAAGAACACAGAATTCAGCACAGTAAAGCATTTGGCTGGATTACAATAAAAGAACAAATCATGTACTAACTAATTTCTATAAGTTAGAGTAGGGAAGTAGCTGATAGTCGTCCAATTTATTATTGATCATCCTCAATGTGTCAAGGACTGGTATCCTGAACAATATCTTGTTCAAGTGTTATCCTCAGTCATTCTTCAAAAGGGTTTAATCACAGAATGAAGTTAAATGGGTATTTGCCAAGTGGCACGTTGTCTAACAAAGAAAATAAAACATAGTTATAATTGACCTATTCACTTGCTCTCTAAATGCTGGAACAATTGGACCTCCCAAGAGCTTTCTTGAGTCATTGCTCACTGATGTCTCAGTTAACATTAGGTTACAGGCCCAACACGCATCAGTACCAGATTTATCCAGGGGACCAGGTTGAAATCAGACAGGCTACAAGTTGCTAAAAACCAAAATAACTGCAGATGCTGTAAATCAGGATCAAAAACAGAAATTGCTGGAAAAGCTCAGCAGGTCTGGCAGCATCCGTGAAGAAAAAATCAAAGTTAACGTTTCGGATCCAACGATCCTTCCTCAGAACAGGCTACAAGTTGTTCCCTGGGCCAATGCCTCATGTAATTCCCATAATTGATATAAATGGGACATTTCTGTCACAGACATCACATTAAATGTGATGATCTTCTGCTGCACATATGAACTCAGTACCAACAGCTACATTGCTACCCTCGTAGGGATTTATTTTTGGTCAGTTATATCAGGTTGAACCTTTTTGTAATGATTATGCTTTCCTCAAAATGCATTTTTGTTTGTATCAAGGGATTGCAACATTAAATTGGATCTGGATATAATTGTTATTCACCACTGAAACATCCTATACACTTGGCTCACTGCGCTAATAGATTAATCTTCGTTCTCAGTAAACATTATCACGTCAATTGACACAGTTAGGAAATGTGCTGCAGTATTTGTAAAACATTGATTTTCACCGACATCATGTCTCTCAAGGCACTCCCCAATAATAAATTGAATATTAAAATCACAAGATTTAGTTTGCAACTCTTCAGGCAGCTACTGGATTTATCTTTTTCAAATCCTGTAATCTTTACCTTCAATTAGATTTACATACTGCGTATGAAAATTATTGAAGTATAAATGTGATGTATTGAGACAATTTCAAGTACTCTGTTCAACTGAGAAACAGTAAGCATGGTTTCTGTATCTATGTGTGTATGTGTACATGTATTATGTCCGTATGTGTTGTGTAAAATGTATTATGTGTATTGTCTGTGATTGTATGTACATGTGCATTTCGATGTGTGTGTGTCTGTGTTTTATGTGCAGGCATGTTGTGTGTGTTTGTACGTGCACGTGTATGTTGTGTATGTGTATTTTGTTTGTGTGTATATGTGAATGCACATGTCTTGTCTGTATGTGTATGCATGTGCATGCGTGTATGTGTGTTGGTCTCTTGGACCGAGGATGACAGTTAGTCAGGGGAAAAAACCTCTGCATGGATTCCTTACTTACTGGGAGGATGTTGTGTTGCAGCTCCCACACAGATCCAGCTGACCAGGAAACTCTCACACTCACAGTGTCTGCCATAGGTGTCTCAGAGGGATTTACAGATTAATATTTGATCTGTTTGCCCACATTACCACGCAGTTTCCATTGCCATCGAGTTCTGTGGTGCACCTTGAACTGAGAGTTAACACACTACCACTGGACCAGAATACCCCACTTACAATGTACAATTGAGGGCGGCAAGGTGGCTCAGTGGTTAGCCCTGCTGCCTCACAGTGCCAGGGACCTGGGTTCAATTCCACCCTTGGGCGACTGTCTGTGTGGAGTTTGCACATTCTCCCTGTGTCTGCATGGGTTCCCTCTGTGTGCTCTGGTTTCCTCCCACAGTCCAAAGATGTGCAGGTTAGGTGGATTGGCCATGCTAAATTGCCCATAGTGTTCAGGGATGTGCAGGTTAGGTGGATTGGCCAAGGGAAATGCAGGGTTACAGGGATAGGTTAGCGGGGTGAGTCTAGGTTGGATACTCTTTGAAGGGTCGGTGTGGACTTGATGGGCAGAATGGCCTACTTCCAGACTGTAGGAAGCCTATGATGATTACCACACAAACTGAAGAGTGAAACTTCATTGCACTGATGTTTCTCCATTGTTGTTGTCAGTGAGTGAGAGAAAGGACAGGGGGAGAGAACACATACCCCTACCTTCCAGTGATACGGGAACAAGGTGAGATTGTGAATCACCTTCTTATCGAAGTAGATGAATAAAACAGGGACTAGTGCAGATGCTCAGTAATGTATCTCTATTTTCCGGTTTAAAATGTAGGTTTTTAAAGTTTTATTACATAATATGTGGCCATCGGAAATAGCAACAGGATTAGGCCATTCAGCCCCTCAAGTCTGCTCTGCCATTCAATAGGATCACGGCTGATGCAACATTCCTCACATCCACTTGCCTGTCCTTTCCCAGTAACCCTTGATTCCCTTACTGATTAGTTAATTGCAGCTAAGAATGAATGTGTATGGGTTACTTCATCTGAGCAGGAACAGGTCACATGATGCCTCAGGCCTGCATCACCATTTGATAAGATGATGGCTGATCCTTGAACTCCATTCTCCTGTCTGGTCCCCATATCCCTTGATCCCCTTAGAATCTAAAAGTCTATCAGTCTGAGCCTTGAATGTATGGAAAGGGCCCAAAAGATGTTTACCAGGGTGCTTCCAGGGCAGCACAGTGGCTCAGTGGTTAGCACTGCTGCCTTACAGCGCCAGGGACTTGGGTTTGATTCCAGCCTCGGGCGACTGTCTGTGTGGAGTTTGCACATTCTCCCTGTGTCTGCATGGGTTTCCTCCCATAGTCCAAAGATGTGCAGGGTAGCCATGGGAAATGCAGGGTTATAGGCTAGGGGGATGGATCTGGGTGGGAAGCTCTTTGGAGGGTCATTGAGCCCATGATGGGCTGAATGGCCTGGTTCCACGCCGAAGAGATTACATGAGAAATTTCAGTTATGATGATAATTTGGACAACACTTTGATCCATGGAATCCATACAGTGTGGAAACAGGCCATTCAGCCCAACAGGCCCACACTGACTCTCCAAAGAGCGTCCCATCCAGACTCACCTCCCAATCCTATCCCTAAAACCCTGCATTTCCCATGGCTAATCCACCTAACTTACACAGCCCCGGATACTATGAACAATTTAGCATGGTCAATCCACCTACCCTGCACATCTTTGGACTGTGGGAGGAAACTGGAGCACTCGGAGGAAACCCACGCAGACACGGGGAGAATGTGCAAACTCCACGCAGACAGTTGCCCGAGGGTGGAATTGAACCCAGGTCCATAGCCACCCCTCTGATGCACAAACAAACGAATCAATTGATACACACACCCTCTCTCACATGCACATACACTCATGGACACAGTCACACACACACACACACTCACATGCTATTCTTTCAGGTCTCACCTCAAACAGAGATAAAAGGTGAACTGTTTCATCCGAACTCCTTTGAAGAGATGATTAAGGGGTGACCTCATGAATTTTTCAGGATGACGTGACATTTTAGATAAGTAAATGGGGGGAAAGAAATGATTCCCTTTGGTGACTGGTTCAATAACCAGTGGCAATGGATTCAAAATCATCCGGAAAAGATCTAAAGGGAAATGACAGGGAAATTCTTCTATTCAGAGAGTTATTGAGATGGGGAAACGCTGTGTCAGAAAAGGCATTTTCTGCTGATTATCTGGTTAGACAGGTGCTAAAGGATGAGAAAGCTACAGGGTGGTGAACAAAATGAAGGTATATATGGGACTAAACACTGACTGTTTTTTCAGACAGGCAGCAAAGGCAATCTGAGTCTGGGGTGAGATGGTGGGTCCACCGTCTCACCATCACCAACCCAGACCACCGTCTCACCATCACCACCCCAGACCACCGTCTCACCAGTACCACCGTCTCACCATCACCAACCCAGAGCACCGTCTCACCATCACCACCCCAGACCACCGTCTCACCATTACCACCGTCTCACCATTACCACCGTCTCACCATCACCACCCCAGCCCACTGTCTCACTGGACTAGTCATCCAGATTCTCAGACCAAGTGCCCCGCAGTGAGGGGGAGGGAGTTTTTGAGAGGGATGGAGGTGAGTTGGGGAGTAAGGGTTCAAATCCGACCAGGGCAGATGGCATTTTGAATTCATTGAACAGTTCTGGAATATAAAGCTACTGTCTGTGATAGTGACCATGAAATTACCCTCCACTTGTGGTAAAAACCCATCTCATGTCCTTTTAGGGTAGGAAATCTGCTGTCCTTACCAGGTTTGGCCTACTTATGATTTCAGTCCCAAAGAAATGTAGTTGACTCTGAAGTAACCAAAACTGTTCAGTCCAAAGGCAGGTACTGATGGGCAACAAATGCTGACCTTGGCAGCAACACCCAGAAACAAACAGCAAATGGACTCCTTCTGTTCTATGAAATGTGTTTTTGCCTGCAGGGTAATGTACACACCACTTAATTAAGAAAAAGTCTGACTGGGATTCTTTAACATGAGAAACCATTGCATAATTGCTCTAATACTTAGTATTAAGAAAGATACATAATTATTATTTGTAGATCATTCATAGAAAGAAGCTATATCAACCAAGTGAAGGATCCAGTTACATTTATTCAAATATTAATATCTGGAAAATTCTTAGTCAGCAATAAGTCTGTGTTGTACATCAATTCAGTCCTAATGGAATTTGGTGTGGAGA